ATGAAATGCCCAGCAGTTCAAGAGAGCAGGTTCTATTATTATCACCCATATTTTCCATAGATGGAAACTGAAGGGCTGAGAGAGTCGGTAATTTGCCAGGGTCGCTCAGTCAAGCTAGTGCTGAGGCCAGCCTCTGAAGGTCACTCTGCTGACAACCACACAGTGGCCTCAGGAAGGAACTCAGACCATTAACCCATTTATTGCTGGCGCAGGATAGGCACAGATGGGTGGGGGAGGGTGGTGATGGTGGCAAAGAAGGGAAGTCAATTCTTCCTCATCATCCTAAGACCTGGATTGAGTTCCTGCCACGCATAAGATTGAGTCCAGGTGCTGGGGATACAGCCTTGATTCTAAGGCAGCCCTGGTTTGGAAGGCTTGTCCTCAGGCTGCTGCTGTGGGAGGGCCTGCCTTACCTAATCTTGGCCTTGGGCCTCCTGAGCCATCTCCACAAACCAGGTGAACCTGGAGAGGGCCAGAGCGTTTCCATTGCCCCCCTCCCACCAAGTGAATTGGAGCAAAACAGAGCCACGTGCTGGACACGTGGAGCTCCCAGAGCCAGTGGTTTATAAACTTGCCAAGGGCTGGGGGAGTAAACACATCCGGGAGAAGCTGGAACACTTCTCTGGCAGTGATGTGTGCAAACGGAAAGCACAGCTTTCTGGCACTTTCCTTTAAGGTGCTCTTAGTTTTGGAACCCAGAGCTTGTTGAGAGCAAGTCCTCATAAACCTCTAAGCACCGTCATGGCACGTGGCAAGTAAGTCCTGACGATGGCTGTGTGTATTAGAACTGCTTGTTCTCCCAGAATAAACTATGAGACATCTCTGCAGCTGTCTGCATGCCAACCTCCTTGCTTGTGAAAAGCTCTCCCACCTTGTTTAACATCCTTTCAAGGTTTCTCAATCTTGAATTCTTCTTTTCAAACAAAATTTTCCACCTCCGGAGTGTTAAGCACTTGCGTAAAGGTGTGTGTAGGGTACAGTATTTCTCAGCTCTTTCAGAAAAGTTGTATTGTTTCCATTTCACAGATGAAGGAATTCAGAGAAGTGAAGCAACTTGCCTAAGGTCACACAGCCTTAGTAGAAGTATCTTGCTTATCTGCAGACTCCTAAGCCCATGCTCCTAACCTGCTGCTCTTGCTCTTCCCTTCCCAGCCTGCACGCCACATCTCTAGTCCATGATTTCCTCTGGCTGGAGCTTCCCGCACCCAGTCTGTCCATCTGCCAGCAAAGGGTGAGTACCGGCGCGGCTGTTACTTTAGGATACATTTCCCGCCTTACTCTTGCAGAGGATTTGACCGTTTACTTCCAAATACTTGGTTTTGCTTCATGCTCATAAGTCTGGGACACAGGAGTGATTATTTTCATTTCACAACTGCAAGAACTGAAGTCAAAGAGGAACTGCACCTTGCCAAGTTTGCGGAGTTAGGCATGGGGGAGTCGGGTCTAGAGTCTGGAGCCTGCATTTGGACCATCACACCATACTGGCTGCTTCTTCCGTCTGGGGCCCGGGGCGCATTTGTTCCTTTCGGGCCTGCAGAGGAAAGGCTCTGAGGTCACAGGGCAGAGCTCGGTCCCCGTGCCCCGGGGGCCCACGCCTCTGCTCCGAGGAACCGGTCCTTTTCTCCATGGAGCAGACAACAAGGGGTCCTCTGCACTGAGGTCTTGTGGCGCAAATGCAGGGGGTGCTGGGGAGACCGTGCTGAGGCCCTCAGGAGGGACATTTGTGCATTTCATGGGACGAACATCATCAGCCTTGTCTGCTGCTGAACCTCCACATCTCTACTGGCAGGAGAAGCAGACCTAAGGGAGGCTGGGGCGCCGGGAGGGCTGGGGGCATACCTGGATTATAAACCGGAGTTGGGCATGTCGCCCCGTCTCCCTGAGCCAGTTTTGCCTCAAGCTGAGGCGGCCTGAGCGTCACTATGAGGGCTGGACTGTGTCAGGCTGGAGAACGGAGTCTCCGCTGGTTTTCTTTGGCTTGCTTGAGGGCCACTCTCTGGCGAGGATGCTAGGGGAGAGGGATGTGCTCTGACCCTCTGGATTTCTGGGGAGCCAGGCTGGAAAGCCTCAGTGAGACAGAGGAGGAAGCCCTCGTGGGCCATGCAGCTAGCTGCCTCTTCCAATAAATACCACCGGTGATTGTGAGCTGGTTTACAACGGCTGCGAGGGTCTCGGGCCCTGGTGAAGCAGGTCGACCTCTTCAGGGGCAGCCTGGTGGGCCCGGAAGCCAGAGCTCCCCGCTGCGGGGGGCCGGGAGGGGGGAGGGCAGAGTCCCTGCTGCAGGGACCATCAGGCTCCGGTTGTGTTTGGAGTCTGTTCAGCTGAACTGCTCTCCCCAAGCGTGTGTGGACACTCTGGCTCCCAGGCTGCACCGGGGTCTCGGCCCACAGGGAATGTTGCCTTTGGGCAAGGCTGCAGGTGCCTGTGGGGCAAAGGAGACCTCCTGTCTCCTCACCCTCAGCCTCCACCCTTCCCTCGGGCTGGTGGGGCGGGTCTGGGGTGGGGTGGGGGTGGGGGGGGTCGTTCATGTCTAGAAGGAGACTCCGGTGCAGGAGTTGTGATGCCCCAGCCGGGACTCTGTCTCTGGACTCTCCGTGCTGGTGTAGATGCCCCCTGGCTGGTGGCTTCCCAAATGCCACACTCACCAGCCAGCTCACCACCTCCAGGCCCAGCAGGCCTTTCTTAGAAGAAAGGACCCCCTGGAACTGTTTGAGGAGGGGCAGGAAGGCCAAGGTCACAAAAGCCACAGACACAGGTCAGTAGGAAGGCTCCCCCCAAGTCTTTATCTGAACAAATATCTCAGCACAGAATGTTCTGGTTGAACATAAATCTGAATTCCAATTGCAGTAGCTTTGATAGGAAAAACAGGGCACACTTCATCATGCAGTTACCCTAATCAAATGTCTCTGGAGCCAGAGCTCACTCCGTTTCTGATCTGCCCTATTTGGATAGAGTTGGGGGTGGGGTGGGACAATGCGGGTTCCGGAGGAATGAATATGAATATGACTGTCAGGTTTTTTTTTTTTTTTAACGAGGGACAATTTGGGCCTGTTCTCTTGAAAACCAGAGTAGACATTTAATCTTGGGGGAAAGGAGATGGGTAAGAAAGCAAAATTTCTATTTCAATGAAGTGCTGTGTCTGGGGGATAAAGGGTGCCTTCGGGGAAAACACACCCCCCCCAAAAAGATTTGGGGGCAAGCTGGGTTGTCTGTCTGTCCCCTGGGTCTCTCTTGCGACTTCTTGACAAAGTCAGTGTTGATAAGCACAAACTTCCTGCCCCAAGCAAAAAGGAAATTACCCCAGGTGTTGGGTTTCTGGGAGGCAGGGGGATGCTGATGAAAGTGACTGACAGACCTTCCTATTCGTTCTTTTTCCTGCTTCCCTCCTCCTCATAGCTCTGCTCTCCTCCCTGGGGTTTGGCTTTCTGCGAGGGTGGTGGGTTGGTGGGGGCGGGGGATGCAAAAAGCCTTTGTTCCCGGTGACTTGCCCCACCTCTGCCTGCGCCTTCCTGGCCTCTTTGTGTTGGGGTCACCCCATTTATCTGTCTTTTCTCTCCCTGCCATCTTCCTGGCAGGCCCCATGCCCTGTCCACCTTTGATCTCTGCGGAAATCACCTAATTAGGAATGAAAACATTTTCAAATGGTCTTTCCAGGCAGGGCAGGCCTCTGGCTCCCCTGAACACAGGCCAATGTTGGGAGCAAGTTGCCGGGGGGCCACCGTGGTGGAAGGGTGTGCGGGAGGCCCTAAGTTTTTCTGGGGCAATGAAGTCTTGCTGCAGGAAGCCACCGGGGATAAATGGAGGACTGGCCTTCAGAACTGGGGCGCTCTCAACATGAAACCAGACCTACCATGGCAGGCCTCATGCAATCATTTTGTTATAGTTCTTCCAGGCAGCTTTTTAGCAAAAAAGCAGGTCTCTCCCAAGCCAGCCTCATAGGTCTTTGGTGCAAATATCCTTTGGTCTGGAGAGTGATCCCTCAGGTCCCAGCAGGGCCTCTGTGTGGGGGGCCCCCTGATGCCCAGAGTGAGCACTTCCCAAGAGGTGAAGCAATCAAGGCTCAGGGATCCAGGCTGCAGGGCAGGTAATCCTAGGATTAGAAAGTGCTGGCTCTGGAATGCAGTGCAGAGCTGGAATCTAGCAGACTTCCCTCCCTAATCATGCCCAGTTTAGGCTAATATCTGAAACCACTCAGTCTTCCTGAAGCTGCAGGGCTGGCTGGGGAGGGGTGGGGTGCCACGTGCGCCTGGGAACAACTCACCCTGCAGCACCCCAAGACTTGCAGGTGGTCAGGCTGGGAAAAATGACGAGGGTACTGGAAAGAACTGCTAAGCAAATAAATCTTTTCTGCTAAAGGGTCTTGGGCCTGGTGCAGTAAATAATCCAATGCAATTGTAAATAACAAGTTTGCTTACTCGATAAACCTATCCTTAGAGAGCTTCCATCTGAGTTTTAGCTTCTCTAAATGAGGTTACATTTTAACAAGGTCGGATAGCTGGCCAAGCTGATTTATCTCTCAAAGGACATCCCCGAATGTCCATCTTTCCCCCTTTGTCCAGCAGTTTTACAGCAAATAGTTGTGCTTGCTAACCAATGTTATCAGTCTAAGACGGTTGTGTATAAAAGAAATCTTTGTCTCTAGACAGGTGCTCAGCCCTTACGGGATTACCCAGGTCTGAGACCTCAGGCTTGAGTAATAAAGCTTCTCCTGACCTCACCATTCCTGAAGTACCGCTTGTTCTTCCTTTGCCTGGGCCAAAGACTAGAATTTATTTCTGCAACATTTTTTTGGTGCGGGCAGAGTTGCAAACTAGCACACCTCCCTCCCTAATCATGCCCAGTTTAGGCTAATATCTGACACCACTCAGTCTTCCTGAAGTTGCAGGGCTGGCTGGGGAGAGGTGGGGTGCCACGTGCGCCTGGGAACAACTCACCCTGCAGCACCCCAAGACTTGAAGGAGGTCAGGCTGGGAAAATGACCAGAGTACCAGCACACAGTATGCTTCCAAAAATTTAATAAATAATGATTTTTAAAACTGTATAAACTATAAATTACCATGCAGCCCTTATAATTTAAAATAATTTACAGGTTGAGGTAGGGAGGGGCCCAGGAGAGTGTGGAGGGGCGGGAAGGGGGCTGGCCTGCAGGTCAGGTTCGCCTCCCAGTCTTGCGGCTGAGCACACACACGCAGGCCGTGTCGATCCGGATAAACCTCCAGGCGGCCTGCTTGCCTACCATGGTGAGCGCCTTGACGAAGGTGTGAGTCGTGGTGCAATAGGAGTTCCAGTGCTTGGAGTCGATGCCCCGGCACCCGCTGTCCACGGGATTGGGGTTCCGGCACTTGGTCTCGAAAAAGTACTGCTTGAACACACTGTTGTTAATGTTCACCTCGCCCAACACCATCACCTCCTTGCCCTTGATGTCCGTGGCGGTGGCCTTGTCTCCCACCCACACGCTGACGCTGTCGCACACCGAGAACTCCCCGCGGTGGTAGATGGGGTGGGACGGCAGTGGTGGCGCCGATCGCTTGCTCCTGTGAGTCCTGTTGAAGGAGGCGGCGTCGCCGGCCTCAAAGTCCAGGTCCTGAGGGTCGACGGCCACCGGTGGGGGCTGCGTGCTGAACAGCACGCGGGGGGAGCGCAGTCGCCGCTTTTTGAAAAGTTTGGGGTCCACAGTGATGTTGCCGGTCTGCCCGGCCACCCTGGCTGCTATTGCACTGGCCGGGACGCTGCGGACTCTGCGGAGGGCCGTGTCGAGGGAATGCTGAAGTTTAGTCCAGTGGGCTTGGGGGCCGGCGTGTCCTGCTGGGACATGGCGCTCTGCGCGCGGTTCTGCCTGTGTGCCGATCAGAAGAGCTGTGATCAGAGTGTAGAACAACATGGACATTACGCTGAGCACCTGCCGGGAGACAGAAACCAGTTAGTCTGTGGCCCTAGGTGTCCTGCAGGGCTGCTGGCCCCTCCGAAGGGACTTCCCCAGACCAGACGATCACAAAGAACTTTTGCCTGTGGGCTGCGGCCAGGAGGACTCTGGGTTTATCACCCAGATCGGGTCACTTTGACAGTAACAACGCGGCCGACAGGCAGGCAACAAGGCTGCAGACTCCGGGGCTGGCTACCCCATCTGTGGGTGAGCTTTTCTGGGAGTGGACACAGTCCCCCAACCCTGCCCTGTGGGTGGCAATGAACTTGGGTGCACCACTCACAAGATCCCTTGAGTTCTCTGCCTGCCAGTTTGAGGCCCCTGCAGGCAGGCGGGGTGTGGCAGAGGTGCTGTGCCCAGGAGCAGGTGAATTCAACACCTCTCCCGGCACTGTGTCCTGCTGGGTGTCTGAGTCCCCTGGGAGGGTAAGAGCTGCTGAGGATTCCTCTCAGCTTCAGCAGCAGATATGCCCCCTCAGACAGCAGAATGGGGACAGCTGTCCAAACCCCTGTTTTGAATCCATGAGGCATGGCGGGGTGGGGGGGGCACATCTTAGCCAGTCCAGCTATTCAGCCACCAGCCCTCACATAGAAACGTGATTTGAATAACATTTCTTCTTTGTGTGACATTTTTCAACTTATCAGATGCATTTGCTTCTAATTTCTTATTAGTCTGTGAGTTAGTGTTCCCAAGAGTCAGTGCAAGCCATGGAGCATGTGCCCCCTTGCACAATGGGTGTCCACCAACGGCCACCCCCTTGGTCACGTAATTGTGCAAATAGTATTTTGAGCTCAATTCTGGTGAGTGCCTAGTCACACATGACAAATATAAATATATATATATATATATATATATATATATATATATAGAGAGAGAGAGAGAGAGAGAGAGAGAGAGGGAGAGAGAGAGGGAGAGAGGGAGAGAGAGACAGACAGACAGACAGACATGTACCAATCATCACCTCTGGGAAGCTTCACCTAGATCTTCCTGGTAGGGTGAAAGGTTTGCCCGAGAGAGGAGTTTCAAACTTCCAGTCCTACACATCCCATCTTTTCTTCCCCTGGCACACATCATTTTGCCTGCTGCCCGCTCTTCCATTCTGGCACAGCTACCACCTTCTCCTTCTAAAATCACCCCAATACTCTGGTTTCTCTTCAGATCATATAAATCTTTCACCTTTTACTAAAATCACCCCAAATCAACAATGATCACTTCTGCTTCACACCTTTGGAAGTGTGTGCATGAGTGTGCATGTGTGTGTGTGTGTGCATGAGGAAAACAACTCTGTACTGGAACTGGGGTGAGAAAACTGCATTTGGATTTCTAGCTGGGCTACTTGTTAATAGAGGGAAGACACTGCTTAATATTTCTGAACCTTTGTTTCTTCATTGATAAAAAGCAGGTAATAAACACTATTCCCAGGGGTCCAGTTAGGATTAAATAGGCGCTCTCTCAATCTGATTTAATGCTGAGTCAGTTCAGTCTCCTGTGGTCAAGGATTTTATCTTCTTCAGTTGTATCGTGGCTTATTCCCTCTCCAAGCAAAACTCCATCCACAACTTTTCATGGTTTCCCTCCCCCAGGCTTCTTTCAGTGCATCGTGGTTTGAGTCTGTCTTTCCACGGACTGCAAGGACCTGGAGGCAGAGCCATGCCTTAGCCACTCCATCCCGGGGCATGCACCCCCCTCATCTTCCTTGTTGCATTGGGTACAACCTTCTATGGCTGTGGATAATTGTTTACAGGTTTGTCTTCTTAAGAGTGCTTTAGAAGCTTGCTCTTTGCATTTAAATATCTTTGGGGCCATGTGCAATGCCTGGCATGTAGTAGGTCCTCAAAAAAAAAAAAATGAAGAGAAGAGTGACCAGGGATGGCCAAAGAAGTTTAGCATCTGCCTCCTTTCTACCATAGTTCCTGGTTTCTTTTGAATGTTGTGCATATGGCCACATAATACATTCCTAATCTGTTGAAAGCAATGCATTCTCCTCAATGCTGTGCTTGGATTCAGCTGGAAATAGACAGCTCTTTGGTGAGGCACCAAGAATAAAACCACCAAATTCTTTTCCCTTTGGTTACTTTGAAAAATGTCTGTGTTTGCTCCAATTCTGCAGCTGGCCACACAGAGGAGGTGGTGGCACATCTGGACTCAGACCACCACTGGCTTTGTTGGCTAATGGTCTTGAGATAAACATCCAACCAAGTCTTACAGAACCGCTTATTCAGTTGGCAGCTAATTTAAGTCCTTTCCTTGTGCTTCTTCATTTCGTTCGTCTTCTCAGTATATGATATTATCTCTCATCAGGTAGAGGATGCCGGAAAAGATAAAACTGAAATTCATCCCTTTACATCCAAATCAGTAACTTAGAATTTGGATAGAGAAATGAAAAAAAAAAATGGCTAAAATGGAAGGTTTTGATGGAGTTTTCTGCTTCATTCTATGGCTTCCCTATTGGTGAGCGCATGGTCTTCTACAGTCTGCTGAAATTTCTGTGCAATTGATGCTGCACCAGGATCCCTACGCAACTTCCCTTTTTTATTTTATTATTTTATATAATTCTTACATCATTTTTCATTTTTGCACAATGTAAGCATTTTCATTTTGGTTATATTCCCCATACAATTGCACCCCTCCCCCATACAATTGCACCCTGTGTGTCTCTGGTTTATAGTTACTTGTTGATTTTGATTTTTTCTTTATTATAATCATGCTCAGTGAAATAAGCCAGAAAGAAAAAGAAACATACCGGATGGTCTCACTCATAGCAGGAATTTAGAAAACCTAAATAAGGGACCAGGAAAAAGACCAAGAGACAACTTTCCTTTTGAAAGCCAGTTCCGAACCTCCAGCTTCCCAATGGGTAATTCTCCATGAATATTGACATTTTAAATGTAAGACAACCAAATCTAAATCTTCATGCTCATACTCCTCATTTACAGTAACCATGTTCCCCTCCTACCCCACCTTTGCTCAACAGCAGCAGCCCCATTTAGGACCACTTGCTTCACAGAGTAGTTCTGTAGCTACTTTCTCTTGTAAACATCTCTCTTAAACTTGTTTCTCCACACATTCCTTTTTCTGTTACAGGAACCACCATTTCTTCATTCACCAGTTCCAAAGCTCAACTCATCAGCAAACTTTCCTTTCTCCCGCGCCTTCTATCCAGCCTTCTGCTTCAGTAACATCTCTTGAAAACACTTCCCATTCTCACCTCTGTGGTCCTAATTGAGGTCATAGAACAATCTCCCAACCAATGTCCTATATTTATCTCTCGTCTCCCAATGTCTATTCTCCACGCCCTGCCCCATTTAACTTCTAAAAGCTCTGCTCTGGCCACAGCATCCTGCTTAAAGGGCCCAGTGGTGAACCAGTTGTCCGGTCAGCCAGTAGGACTGTCCACCCTGCAGGCCAGGCCCCGTCCCCTTCCTATGCCCCTCACTGAGTCTGCATTGCAGGCAAACAGCTCCTCCAAGGCAGTGCCTGCTCTGTGCCTCCCTGAGGCCACGCTAGGCTCAAACTCTGGTACCACGCATCCCCCATGGGCTCCTCTGCTATCTTTTCTGCTGCTCCTGTTGCTTGGAGTCCTTCCTGTTATCTTTCAACACACCCTATTTTCAGGCCAGCTTTACTGGGGAGCTTCTACTGTTTCCCAATGGACAAGTTCTGTCCCTCTCCATCCCTCAAGTCATCTCCTAACGCTCCCTTGGGACAGCTATGTTCTTTTACCCTCCAGCCTAGAGGGCTAACGACTGAAGGCAGAAAAGCGTCCTGTTCCTCTTTATTGTATCCAGGTGACCAAGCAGTTACAGGTACCGCCACCTCTAAGAGCCGGTGACCATGCGGACAAGTCTCCTTCTTCCTATGCTTCTTAATTGCTCCATCTGAGACGAGATGGCTAAAGTATCTTCCAAGTCTGACATTTCTTGAGTTTAAGCGATTCCAAAGTTTTCTGCTAAGCGAGTACTTTGTTCTGCTGAACTGGCTTCACCAAGTTCCTAGAGCCTAATGCTGCTTCTCAGTTTGCTGTCAGGGTGACGTGTGCTCCCTGGTGGAATTTTTTTTAAAGATTTATTTATTTATACAAGAACTGGGGTACAGGCCAGATGTGCAGGAGGATGAGAGGATTCACCAGAGACAGAGCGGGGAACAGAACAGGCAGACTGACGAAATAGACTGCTGAGGGGAGCAGTGGGCACGACAGGAGAGATTTGCTACGCCATGTGGGACCCTCGCCGGTTGGCTGGGATCGAACCGGTGCTGCAGAGGCTGTGGAAAGCTTCACTGCTCGGTGCTCAACCGCCTGCATCACCAGGGGAGGCCCCCTGGTGGAATTTAATCGCATGGAGATTTGCATAGTGGACAGACTGTTTGCTGATGATTTGAAAATGCTGCAAATCCATCTCTCATTTGGGTTCCAAATGAAAAGATGTTTAAAAAAATATTTAACTGATTCATAAGAACACGATCCTTATAAGCCTTTAAGTTAAAAATTATTTCTTTGAAAAAATCATCGATAAATGAAAAGAAAATGCTGGTGTTTTTCCCAGTCTAGGGATATATAATGCAGAGAGCAATTTACAAAAGAGTATGCTCTTTCCTTAAAGTGAAGAAGGAGGAGTTATTTATTTATTAAAAAAAAAAAAAACAACAAAAAAACAGCCTTCAAGCTTTGCTCCTGAAGGGATGACAATCCTGGCTGGGGCTCTGCTTGATGACTGGCCGGGAAGAAGCAGTTAGTGGCTCATGAAGAAAATGCCCTGTTGAGTGGTGAGTGCTCTGATTTTGTCTCGCTCCTCCCAGCATGGAAGGGAAATGAATGGAGGGGCCACTTGCTGCCTCTTGTCCACTCTGACGGGCTGCCCAGCTCTCCTGCCCTTTCCTGGGCTGGTCGTCCATTCTGTGGATTTCAGTGGTTCACAAGCTCCAAAAATGAGAGAAACTTCCTACACCAGGTGATCTCCACACAGATGCCGGCTTCACCTGAATAGACGGGGGGCTGCAAGGCAGAGCCACGGAACTGGCCCAGATAGTTGTGCTGGGAGGCTGGGGGCGCTGGGGGAGAAGACTGGCAACTGTGTCTTTGGAGAAACATTGCAGAAGGGAGGGAGCAGGATCATTCCAACCTTACAGGGAGTGGCGCCAAGAGATCTTCTGGACTCTTTGACTTGAGATTGGATCAGCGAACCAGGGTCACTGACTGTTATTGGTGGGGGGCGCGGGAATGTTAGAGGAGGTGGAAAGACAGCCTCCTGCTTCCTCTCTTCCATCTCCCTCACCACATTTTGAGAGTGGTTGAGGGTCATTTCTTCTTCTACTCTTGGCTTCCATCCTCTCTCAGTATAACCAAGCTGCTGTCTTCCGTTGTAAAGACTCAGAGGAATTTTGTGGCTCCTCAGTTCCCCAAGGAGGTAGAATTGAGGCCGCAGCAGAGAAAGGCTTTGGCAGAAGCCAGGGCCTCTGCTGGCATCGCCCAGACTGGGTCGCGTGGACTGCAAGGGACATCAGGTATCAAGTCCAGAGGTTTCGTGCGTCAGAATCACCTGGAGAGTTTGCTAAACCACAGACTGAAGGGCCACCTCCAGGGTTTCTGATTTAACAGGTCTAAGTGGGGTGCTGAGAATCTACCTGTCTCACCAACTGCCAGGTGCTGCTGCTGCTGGTCTAGAGGCTTCGTTTTGAGACCCACCAACCAAGTCCAATCCTTGCAGTTTAAAGAGGAGAGAGCTGACCTTGGGGAGGCTAAGTGATGGGGTGTGCAGTGCCTGGCATTGCTCTGCCAGGCACCTTTAAGAAGAAAGAGCCTGAGGCTACACACTTGGTTACTGATGAGTCCTGGCTGCTTTTATGCTGATGAAAATTCCATTCAATTGACTGTGAGTTTTATCTTCCTTAGGGCACAAATCCCACTATCAGGGAACATTTGGATAGTTAATTAGCTTGATGTCTAGTTTCTGGGCATCGTGTAGACTTGACCCTAAAGCACTTAAAATGTTCGTGATAGAAATATGCAGCCGGAAGCACTGGCAGGTACAGGCACCTGTGGATCGTTGGTCTTAATCCAGGACAGAGTGGGAACAGAAACCACTGGCATGAATTCTTAAAATGAATGAGGTGAGAGTGTATTTCTCATCGTGACCATTTATTGGACATAACTGTCTCATTAACTGTCACACACCTGGAGATACACCTATTGTTCCCGCCATATAGATGAGGAAGCAGAAGCAGGAAGTGTGAGTAACTTGATGGTAGAGGTGGAACTCGGGGCCTGGCTTCTGTCTCCAGCGCTGTCTCTCCCCACCCTCCATTTCATGGCCAAAAGCACGAAGAGGGATCAAGAACCCTTTGTCTCACAAGAGCTTGGTGCTTAGACACCCGGGGCTGTGTGGCGGGTCTGGCCAGTGCTCTCTGTATTTGAGGTCCTGTGTCTATTACTTTGGAGGTGGCAGATCAGATGCTTTCTGTGGTCCCAGGAGGCCAGGAGCCAGCCTGAGAGCCTGAAGGACTGGCTCTCCTAGGTGGGGTGGGGGAGCCTCATATGTGCTGGATCACTGGAAGGCACCCCACGCCTTTGCTGATCAGCTGGATGTCATGCCCCTTCCTCAGCCTGGGGCACATTTCCAGCTGATCTGGCCACTCCCAAGCCAGGAGCCTCAGAGACAGATGCCCCATAGGCGCTTACCTCAATGTGGCCAGGACAGAAAGCTGCTCCCTTGGAAAAACCGTTATTGGGTCCGGACGCTGAGCTGAGTTTGGGTCCAGCATGCCATCTAGTCCCCTGGACTGCACGACCAAGGGCCAGGACTCTGTGGAGGACAAGGCTGGTATTAGATGGGCATGTCACCACATTCTCCAGCAGAGGGACCACTGTCCCCTAGGCAGGAGGGGGGAATATGTTAATAGGACAAACCCCATTCCCCTGGGGTCTGGAGTTTTACCAGCATCAGGAGCTAGAGGCCAGATATTGAAATTTCCGGGGTCCTGACCTTGTACAGACCTATGGTGGCACCTGTCTGTCACTCTTGTGCCAAAGCTCTTGGTTTCTGCCTGGACACCATCCCTGGGAGACCCGATGCCCAAGGCAGGGGCTTCTATGCTCACACCAGACTCCTGCTGACCCCCATACAGCATCAAAATGGACTAACTCTGTATGTTACACACACTGAGATGTCATAGACCCAGCTCTGGAGCAACATGACAAAGATAAACTGTAGAAGCAAAAGTCCTGACAACTGAGGACAAACGGGTGCTTTGATGAAGATCCAGATGAGTAATGGCAACAAGTACGTCCACCTGACCACTGGGCAGATGCCAAGACTCATGCAGCACGAGGACAGGAATCCCAGAGAACCATGCCGTAAGTTAAGTTTTAGGAATCAGAAGCCATGGAGATGATAAAATAGAGAAAACAATTCTGTTCAGTTTTAGGTTTTAGTTCTTGAAGCAATAGAAAGTTTCTATTCTCATTCCTATAAGCCACGCACACACATACACACGCACACACACACACACACACATAGGTGCTTCATTCATTCATTCATTCATTCAATAATGTTTCCCGAGTACCTGCTATACTCCAAGCCATGTTTGAGGTTCTGGGCAGCAGTGAATAGACAGATATGGTCTCTACCCTCACGGAACTTACAGTCTTGTGTAAATAAACATGACATCTTCAGATTCTTTATATCCAGGAAGAAAACAAGGAGGGCATGATGACCCAGAGGTAGTAGGGTAGAGTAGGGAGGGGCCGCTTAGGATGCTAGTGCAGGGTTCTCGGAGGAAGTGGTCTTCAAGTTGAGATCTGAAGGATGAACAGCAATGAGGGCGAGAGTTTTGCAGACAGAAGGAACAGCACATGGAAAGGCCCCAGGAATGAGATGTAGGAAATGCATTGGAAAGTTGGAAGGATCTAGCTAGGAGCTGGCTAGGGATGCAGCCAGGAACTGACTTTATCCTAAAGGCAAGGAGAAGGGAGTATGAATTAGACTCAGTAGCTTTAGGCATCTTTGATTTCCCTCCTCCATAGGCACAGATGATATCGCTAAGGTCTCCTCCACTCTCATCCTCTGTGAGATTGTGGGTGTACACGTTGTCAGTCTGCACCCCCACTGGGTACTCGAGGAACACTTTCCTTGCCAAACACTGAAATTCATTTATTTCATGACTTGAACACTTAAACTTGCAGAACCTGTGCATGCCACGTGTTAGGCGCCAAGGACAAAGAAGATTAAGACATAAAATTTAATTGCCAAGAGCAAATTCTCTAGAAGTGAGGAAAGGCAAACATGTGAGCAAGCATTTAAAGTACGATGTGATAAGTATGTACACTTGACAAGATATGGAAACATAGAGAAGGAAGGATGTGTTTTATCTGACCAGATTAACCAGAGACATATTTATAGAGGAAGTAACATCTGAATGGGGTTCTTAAGGTTCTAACTGGACAAAAGGATGGAAAGACATTACAGATCCCCAGAGTTCAAGAACTGGCTAGAGGTTTAACAGGTTTAGTCAGGGGCTTGAGGGGAGGGTGAGGAGTATGTGATAGGCCTAAAGTACCAGTAGGTGCTCATGAGCCCACCTGTGGAGGGGCCACTGATGGTAATGTCCTGTGTCACACAAAAAGCCTCTACTTTTAATCTATGCAATAAGCAGGGAAGTAAGACTGACTCGCTGCAAATATTCTGGATATTTGACAAAGCAGGAAGGTTTTCAGTCTTGATGACTGGAGGAGAAAGTTGATCTAAGTAAATAATTCCACAACTCCTAGGCAGATCTGCTTTCTTGAGGTATTGGCTCTAAGTCAACCACAGTCGGTTTCCTAGCCCTGTGCAGGCAAACTCTGGATCCCTCCCTGGTGTCCTCTGACTACAACCTGCCTTGGTGAAGGCCAGGGCCCTCTGCGTCACATGTCTGCCTGCAATCTGAGACACTGGCTACCATTTCCCAAACCTTTGGCCTTCCTTACTCGGGGAAGGAAAAGGTGATTTGCCGCCTGAGGCAGCAATTCCCTCTCTGAAATACTGAAACACAAAATGACTTTCAGAGAAATTGCTGTCATTGTTTTTAGTGCCTTGCTGGTGAAGGTTGGGGCTCTAAAATTAAATCCAATTTGAATATCACCAATTTCTAATGCAAGGATATTAGGGACAAACAACCCAAATACAAACCTATTTTTAAATCCCTGACTGTTCTCTTGGGGTAATCACTTAATCAGACAGTGCTCACACTTCTGACAATGCAGGGAAATAAGTTCCAGCTCATCTCAGGACCATATTCTCTTTGTCTTTATTGGGCACAATGGAATCTGGTTGAAATCTAGACCTGGGCAACCTGGGCCTGGCCTGGGTCTCTTGCTCTTCAACAGTGGTTCTCAAGGGTGGTCCACAGTAATACCAGAAATCTCAGAACTAGTTAGAAATATGGATTCTTTGGCTTCACCATAGACCTATCAAATCAAAAATTGTATGAGTAAAACCCTGCAATCCATATATTAACGAGTCCTGCAGATGATGCAGGTTAAGAACCATGGCTCTAGAGGATAGCATACCCATGGGGTGAGGACAAGGGAGGTGCCTACCCAGAATGAGTCTTCTGTGGTGGGCCACGGCTTGACTGTAACTTATCACACTATCATCAACGCTGTGTCTAGACCATGCTCCCTGGACCTGTGATTCAGAACCTCCTTCCAACCAGCCCTAGTCTGCCAGAACTGGATGTTCTTTTGAAGACCTCCTGAGGTCTGTGTTGGGGTTGCTTCAGTGTTTCATTAAGTTTCTTAAGATCTCAAAGGTATTTCGGTCAATTTCAGCCAAGAAAATTAGATTTAGGGCAAAGTGTGCCAAATCCAATCAAGAATTAGTTCCCGGAAACTGCCCCTGCTGGACGTTCATTAGGGAGTGATGGGCATCAGCCATAGTCACGGAGAGTCTACCTTCCGGCTCCTACTTCCTTCTGCCCTCCTTTCCTCAAATCCTTAAATCCTAGTCAAACCCCAGATTAACTGGGGAGCTTTACAAACCTCTGATGCCTCACCCACCTCCCAAGATTCTGATTTAACTGGCTTGGAGAACCCCCTGGTTCCCAGCATTTGATAATGCTTGCTAGGGTGTCAAAGAAAAGTCAGGGTTGAGCATCATAGCTGTATGGGATGATTGGCAAACTTGGCATTGACTTTGATGAGATAACAATCAAGAGGACCTATGAAGCAGTTAATATATTTTAGAAACTATAAAGTACATGCGTGCTCACATTATAGGCAACAGGATGGTTGAGGACAAAACTTTCAGACTCTGAGGCTTGTTTCATTCTCCCCTGCCCCCGCCCCCCGCCCACCCCAGTTGTTTGTGTATAATTTATGTTTGTGAATTGGAATTTTCACTATTTGCACGCCACTTAAATGTCAGTCGGTGTTGAAGCTACGGTTAGCTCAGTATAATTAAGCTCAAGGATTTGTTGACATTTTTAAGAACAAAGATTTGAGGGCGCTTGACCAAAAAGAGCTCTTGGACCAGTCTTCTCATGTCTCTGAAGCAACAGCTAGTCTAAGAGCAGCTGATACCACAGCTGATACCTTTCTCCTAGCTTCTGCTCTGTGGAGTTTTGTGAGTGGGAAAACTGACTAGGAATGACAGCCATTAAGAATATGTTGCAGGTTTCTCCCACTATGGGAAGTAGAACATTCCTATTTTAGTATGACTTGGTAGGTTACTTTGGGGGTCTGGGAATGTTCAAGACTTTTTCCATAAAACTTAATGGCAATAGTGTCCCCAGACCCCTCCCAAAAAACCTACCTAATCATACCAAATAGGCACATTCTACTTTTGGATAGCAGGGAAACCAAGGCATGATAAAATTATCAGTACTATGGCTAGGATTTTCATCGCCACACCTGATCTCCTCAATTCTCTTCTCTTTCGGTTTATTCTTACCCCAAGTGTATACATAAGAGAACATTTGAAGTCTTTTGCATTGCCAATCTGTTTTCCTAATTTTTAGCCCAGTCAAAAGCTTTCTAGTATGGAATATGACCAGGAGCTGACTAGGAGCTCTTTTTTTGGGGGGGAGGGGAGGTAATTTTGGCCCTTTTGAGATGATTTGATGTGTTTTAACTATTTAGTGGTTTTGGCACATGCAGTAGGAAAACGGTGCACTGAGGAAGGCATTACGGTTCAGCAAGACTGTGCCCTTTTCTCCAGAAAGTTCAATGCTAACAATTCTAGAGTGCCTTGTCAAATTTCCCCAGAAGAGAAAAGGCCCTGTGTCTTTTTGGGAGATTCAGGGTAAATTACAAGAGCCTTCCTAGCATGTCCCCAGAGAGTTAGGCAACTCAAAGAAGAAAACTTTATGATTGGCTGACCTTGAACTCCAGAAGCCAACAGCATTTGCTATGAAGGTGCACAGCCTCCTGGTGTGCACAGCAGGCGCAATCCACACGTACTCACCTGCACAGCCAAGACCCCAGAGAGCTTTTCACAGTGTGGGCATGATAATGGCATTCACATGGTAGAAGAGAAGACATCTAAACACCAGCAGCCTTCCTTACAGAGTCCAGAGCTGTGTATTTTTGCAAGAATGTACTGCAAATAACAGTCCCTGCAGGATAGCACATCCGCTTAGTAATACTAATGATATATCTATAATCTATATTTGAGTGCCAAAAACAATCCAACAGTTTTTCAAACTTCTTTGTGACCCTATGAAAACATCTTCTAGGCTCCAATTGGCTGATCCCTTAAACCACAAGAAAAAGAGCCATCTCAGCAATGTTTTGGCCCTTAGCTGTCTGTTCTTCCCATACTTGGGGCTAAGAACAGAGAAAACGATTGAGGAAAAAAAGGAAACTCTCAGGTCGGTTGTCAAAGATTAGATCCCATTATATGAGCACCTACCGAGGTCCCCAAGTCCACTGCAAACCTCAGGGGACTACCTGCACCTCATACATGAATGAAAACAAGTCACTGCCAGTGAATACTAAGTCGATCCAAGTCCTTTATTCTATTTGCTTTATGGGATTAAATGTCCTCCGCTCTTCTTGAGCTAGGTTTTTCCTCTCAGAGTGTGGTATGTTTCCAAGCAATAGGTCAAGAGACGGTACATAAGTCTGTAATGCAATTCAGATGTGACTTCAGAAATTAAGACAAGCTAAAGATCCATAGTCCTAAAAGAGACCAGGAAAAATCCTGGCTTAGCAGACACACAGAGTTCCAGGGCTTTAAAAAAGACAGGCAGGCAGGCCGGCAGGCCATCCTTTCATTTAAGAGGGATAAGGGATGAACAATGCAACTTGAACGTAAGGATTCCAGTAATACGTCACCCTTACTTGTTAAAGTGTCCGTGAGACGAGGCCATTTCTGTTGAAGCGGTTGGACTTCAGTTTCACTGCAAAATTGCTGCACCTCAACCACCCTGCATCCAAGAAAACACGGATCACAAGTAGCCAGCACCAAACACACCCCAGGGCAACAGAGTGCCCAGGACGCGTCAGACGCCTTCCCGCGCTACCCGCCCTGGACTGACAGCTGCCACCGCATCTCCAGCTCCCTTGCTCCACAATGACATTTCCTGGCTCGTCTGCCGACTTCACACCCAGAAAATCAGACTCAAGGCATGAAAGAGATAACTCAGCCAGCGCTGCCCAGACATGCCTCACATGCAAATCCTGGGTAACCCGAGGCTGAGATGAATTTATTTCCATGTGTGTGTTTGTCAGGGGGCTTTTGTGCTGGTTAAGCTACTTCCTGTGCAGGGTTTTTACCTCTCCCCGTCCCAAACGGGCTCCCACCGCGAGGTAACATAGACGCCTAATCTGATGGGGAATGTCATCGGTGGTTAACTATAATGAGGGGCTATTTGACGGGCATTTTTCAGCTTATGTGCAGGAGTTGCGTCTAGTTCTTTCGGATTGCAGGAGGAAAGGTCAGGCGAGATGAAAACCTGCTGTCTTTCTGAAGTCACTTGATTCTCATATAATTATCTCAGAACGTTCCCAATCTTCTAGTGTTTCTTCTTTTAGGCTTCATTTGATCATGATTTCATGACCGAAAAGAGAAGTCTGCATTGGGGAAATTTACTCCAGCGCTAACAAGGGGCCCACCGAGGGCCTCTGTCCCTGGGGACCCAGAACAACATGGGGAGTTAGAAATCCCGAGGATGAGGGAAGAGAGTTTTCCCTGGTTGATCACTGCACACACGTGCACACACACCCTGAGGCACACACATGCACTGAGAGAAAGAAAACTCATGCATCTTATTACTTTTGAAGAGGTAAGTTTGGATGGTGAAGAATTTGGAAGTATAAACGAATTTATTTTAGAACCTCAGTTGTCATTTTATATAATTCAAGATTACTTGGTCCAGATACTATTTTGACCAGCAGCCTATCCAAGGTCCTGAGACCTGGGTCTGGCAGATCTCAGCCCCAGTGCTTACCACCTCTATGATCGTTAGCAAGTGACGACCTCTTAGTGCCTCCTCTTAAAAGTTGACATCATTATATCTTCTATGTTGGGTTATTGAGAGAATTAAATGAAACAAGCATTTAACCCAGTGCCTGGCAGCCAGTGGGTGGTACATAGTTCTACCATTCTTACTCGTGTCATTAAAGATATCTCCCTGAAATCAGACAGCGAGTTAGTGGCGCTCTGGGTGTGGAACTTGAAGTGGTGCCTCTCGTCCTTCCTGGCCGTGCACATGCGCCATGGCCTCGTCTGAGCAAGTGTAGACGGCGCTGTTCCATGTGCAGCTGCGGGACGATTAGCAGCAATCATTTGCCAACAAAGATGCTAAGTAATGCGCAGAAACATTTGCGTTCGAAATGATCCCTTTTCTTCATCCACGTCGCAGTCCCAGGAAATCAGGAAGCTGCTCCAACTGGGACTGTAGTTTGGGGAGCACAGTGGTCTTGAGCTGTTTCTAAAACTTGCCAGGCCCTGTAGAGTTAATGGCATCTCTGGTTAGGGTAATGGCTGCTTTGCAGGGAGAGTGAAAGACAAGGTGAATGCAACAATTAGATATCCTCATGGTCACATTTATGCTTGGCTATCCAGGAGTTTGGGGCAAATTTAGGCATCTGTTGGCGTGTTAACTTCCCGAGTCTTAGGTATTTTTCTACCTGTGTAGCTGTCCTCAAGCAGGTACTTAGTGAACGCGTGTTGACCAGAATGGAAAACTCTCACACAGCTGCATCGGCTTATTCAACCAAAATAGATCATCAGTGCATGTGATATCAGCAAACAAGTGGTCCCAATTTATATTCCTGGGTAACTAGGTGAGCCCCCTTTCACTTTGACAACCTGGTGTTTTATTTGAGAAGGGTGCCCTTGGCGGGCTGACAGGTGCATTGCGGGGAGCTGCGAATCTCAGCTCTTCAGCAGCCCCTCATTCCGCCCTCATTCCAAGTGCTAAAGCACAGACACAGGTGTTGTGCAAAACAAACTCCTCCCTATTTCCAGCTTGCTTATTTTTCTTGTCCAGCATTTCTTCAGAGAAGGCTACGCTCCAAGCCAGCCTCTGGTTATATTGTGCAATCTGCTGGGATGGCAATCACCTCATTGTTTAGTTACAACCCATGAAAAGATGAAAAAAAGAAAGCAAAAAGCAAAGCACACACATATAGAACCAGGGTGGAGGCTGTGTGATGATAATGAAAACCATTTGTTAGCATTTCACTCCTCTCTTTGTGAATCAGCCGAGTCGCTGGCACGAGGCCCCTGTCTGAGGAAGGATCTGCACCTCCAGGCCTCCTGGGACTTCTCTGCCATGTCCAGCCTGGAGTGTCACCCTTTGTCCCCAGGAAGGGGATTGCTTGATACACTTCCCCAGCTCCCTCCTGATTCCCTCACAGCCACCTGGCCTGGCCCCAGAGTTCACCTCTGCCCCAGGTCACCTCCCCTGTTGTGACGGGCACTGACCAGGTTATTCTTCAGCTCTGCCTGAGCCAGACTTTGAGGTTTAACTGTGGGAGGGGCTCCCCTCTTTGCTTGCATTGGGGCCACCCGCCTTTCCAGGGCTGTCAGGACTCCTTTTGAACTCTTTGCACCTTCTTTCCATGGGCCTGATTTCTGCTTCTCAAAACAGAACTTCAAACTTACTTTTATAGGATAGAAAAGCAAAAAATAAAAATCTCAAAAGAAAGCAAAACAAATTTCAAGAGGCTCACAACCAGTTCACAAAAAAGTTCACAACCAGTAACAAGAGTGTAGGTCTGCCTAAGCATGTCTGTGTTGCTTGCATTGTCCCGTAGAGAGGAATCACCTCGAAAGTCTCATGCTGGGGTTATAGGCAGAGACCAGTAGCAAATGCTCTGTGCACCTGTGCTCACTAAGTCCTCTTACCTAGGTGGTCTCGCTGTCTCTGCCTACCTCTCAGTCCATCACAACGTATATCCAAGTCAGGTCTCATGGTCAGAAGCAAAGAACAAGGCAGCATTATCTCCAGCACCACCACCATCATCACCTCCTCCACCATCACTGCCCCCTTGGTCTCCACCACCCTCCTGTCACTACACATCACCACCATCACTCCAACTTCCACCAGTTTACTGTCACCGTTGTCTTCCCCACCATGAGTTCTGCCACCCTGATCATCCACCCCATCACTACTGTCATCACCACCATTACTATCAGCACCATCCATAGTCATTACTTCACCACCACCACCAAAAGATTACCGAACACTCTGTAGTGAGGGAAGTCTGACCAGTGTTCCCCAAGGCATCCTCTTGGCCCATCAAGAGAATCAGCAGTTGGAAGAGAGCCCAGCCTGGGGGTCATTTAATTAGCAGTTAAATGAATCATTCAGGTCCACGTGGCTCCCGGCTGAGACGCAGATAGAGTTGGGTCTAGAATCGATGTTCCTGCTTCCTCTTGTACTTTATCCTGTTTTCCACACCATTCGGCTGATTTTTCTTCCTCCTGAGGTTGTTTTTGTATGTGCTAGCTCTGTATTTCCAAGAATGTAAAGGATGACATTATTCAGCTTGCACATTAACAAAGTTGTCTCCAAAGAGGAATGTCTCAGGACAGCACATGCACCCGGCACACGCACAGGGCAAGAAGAGACTGTACCGATCCTGAAAAAGGAGCCAGGTTCTTCCATTGCTTGAGGCCATGGGTTAAGGGTAAGTGCACACATGTTGCCAATCATCTTTGAGGTTTTCTGTTCACATCTGAAGACAGGTGGCCTTGTGCTAGGCCCCTGCGGGGAGGGGAAGCTGGTCCTGACACCCCCCCAGCTCCAGAAGGAAGTTTTCTGACTAGTCCAACCCACAGCACTGATTGGCTCCTGCTCCTCTGAGAATTAGGGCCAGACTCTGAGTAGGGCTCTCTCCTGTCCTTCGGCCCCAGCAGGGGAGGTTGGGGAGCGCTCTGGCTGCTTCTCCTGCTGCATGTTCAGACTGAGGGGGAGCTTCTTCCTTCTGGGTCAGTAGGGTGAGTGTGCCAACACTGGAAGCTGGTGGGAAGAAGGGAGAGGAACAGAAATCCCCCATAGAACCCCCTTAGGCCTCTCCCTTAGGCTGTCTGAGAGGCATTGGTAAGGATAGAATTACCTATATGTTAGGTTTAAGCCTAATGTAATACGTATGATGTATTAAAATAAGTGAGATAATATAGAGCATAACCTGTGGGTTAGGAAATACGGCTGCTGCCACTAATAACACTTACTGTGTGTTTGTGTGTGAGGTACCGTTTACTTACTAGATATTCTTTTAAATACTTACTAAATACTTTTAAAAAATAGTTTTAAATACTTCTCAAATACTGAAAATCTTCTGAGGAGGTCAGTATTATCCTCATTTTACAATTAAGGTAACTTCAACTCAGTATGACGTGGGACGGGCACTGTCACTGCTTAGTGAATGACACCCAGGCCCCAGGCCCCCTCTCTGTGATCCACTACCTCTCCCCTACTCCAGGCTCTTTCACATCTGACCAAAGGAGTGACAGTTTTGTCTTCTGCGTTTTGTACTGAGGGTTGATTTCTGCTTCGGTTACATAGATAACATACAGGTAGGCCTACACAGATCCTATTCTGGAATGTACCTACTTGCTTTTAAAAATTTAAAAATTGTTGATTTTCTAATTTACAAAAACCCTGATTTCTCCACCCATCTGTCATGAGACTCCCCTTGTTTACAATCCTGAAGGCCCCACAGACCACACTCCCTCCTCACTGAAACACTCTAACCACCAAGAGACGAGTTCTGGAAGGATCCATTATCCTGGCAGCAACGTGGGCCCAGAATTTGTTTCATACTGAGCAATTTGTAGACATTGGTAGGTGGTTATTCCACTTACCCTCCCAGATTTCTGAGATAAGATTTCATCTTAATTGTGCGACAATGGGAGAAATCCACAGCAAGCTGAGGTCTCCTCACTTTGCACTGGGAAATGATTCTCTGTCGGTTGGTCTTTTGGGTGTAAAGACCAAGGCAGGCCAGTGGTGCCAAGTGGAGTCCGTTAATATTTCCATTCATGGACATGCAATAGAAAACCATCTCCTACATTTACAGGAAAACATCGAATATAATATCTTTGTTGAACTTAATCAGAACCAGAGTAAAATTCCAGTCACCAAGAATAGAAACTTACCCTAATGATTTCATTTTTAGTCCAAAATATACAGTGATTTCTCTGCCTGCTCTGTTTGTCACTTTCTAAAACAAGAAATCACCAAGCTCTGACTTTGGTTTGAGGCACGCGTGGAAAGCAATAAACACTGAACAGAAATGCAAAGCGATCAAATGTCGAGGGTCCTCGGTGGATGAGCATTCAGAAGTGGATTCAATTTGTGAATTGTTGACTTTTTTCCCCCAGAATTGTGTGAGTCACTCAATCAGGGCTCAATTGTCCAGGCTTCATGCTCTCAGCAGAGAATACCTCATAGCACAGAAGTGAATGAGAGGCCAGAACGCGAGGCTGAGTTAGCCGCGAACAGTGACTGTCCCCTACAGGCTAACCGTGCCATTCAGCAGACACATCAGCAGGGCATAGTGGCCGTGAGTTATGTGACTTGGCCCCCTGCCCACTGGGAAGCACAGAGTATCTGAGTAAATGCTGGCATTGAAAATGGCCCAAGCTCTGAGGTTGGATCTGCTGCTTCCGATCAGGGGCCAGCCTGGGGCCA